TTGACAAAATGAATGTTTTTAATCTACCTCCTATAACAATGTTAGGAACTTCGACTGCTTCGGGAAATTTCAGCGAGGAAGGTAAAACTTGTGTTATTTTCGCGTCTGTTCTCTTCGCGTTATTTTCCTCGGTGGCTTAAGCTTGTGGCAAAAGTACAGGGCACGCGCGAAAATCCTTATTTTCCCAGACTAACTTTGCTTTTGCCTTCAAGTTATCAAACTACTGCACCAACTTTTCATTCGAAAGTGTTAGTGCTCCTTAAATTTGTTTAGGATTGAATTTATCTGGTTGTCGCGAAATTTTCTCTTCTTGGCCTCAACCAGTTGAAACTGAATTGTTATTTGTTTGGATGATTTTGTTTCCTTGGTTACTTGTTTCTAAGGATCGGAAGCGATTCTGGCGCGCGCAATCGAAGTTACTTACGACGTCAAGTTCAGATATTTGTTTCCACAAAGTTTAAAGCACTTTTCAAAGCTTTTAAATAGCTTTGTTGTAATCTATACTAGTTGTAGCCGTGGGATTTTAAAGCTCAATTTAAGTATTAGCACACACTTTCACACTGTTTATACCGATCAGCCGCATTTGAGTGGTTGAAATGAATTTAAAATATTTATCCGCTTTTTATTGCCGTCAAATGCAGGAATCAACGTCACTGAAGAACCGTTCCATCGACGCTTTACTGTTGTTGAAGGCTTTGGAAGCAAGAGCGCTTTAATCAAAATCCACCTGTCGTCGATTCATATGCTTGTCTCCGTGACAAAAGATGTTTGCTTGCTTGCTTGTCTCCGTTAACAAAATCAGCAGTTTTACAACAGCCTATTTGCCTGGAAAAACGTTTACAAATGAAGTAAATTTATAACAAAGTAAAGAAATGCAATATAAAAACAAAAGCAAACGTTGCCAGTGTTTCACAACGTAAACGACGCCTTTTAAAAAGTTGCAAGCGACCTTCCGTTTTGATAGAATATTAGCGTTCGTTCCGAGACGGACATCATATTTCGAGGGGAAATGCAAAAGGTAGGCTGTTTTTTAGGCAAATATAAGTCAACGACGGTTTTTCTCTCTTTTCTACAGACGGAAATGGACGAGGAACAAATGGACATAGTTGATGCAAACCAACCACAAGCTGACTCTTCGATTATGATCAACAAGTCATGGAAACATCCAACCGCAGCCAAACAAGTAATCATCCAGCGAGATGCGGCAGGAAACAAATCCACATGGTTAGCATGCGCATCAGCATGGAACAGTCTCTTAAGTGCCGTGAAGTTGGTTTTGAAATGCCTATATATTGGTATCGAGTGGCCAAAGGACATAAACTCACAGGCATTTGCTCGCAAGGCAGTTACTGCATCGGATTCTACTTGTCCGGCAGACGGCGTAAGTTTGGCTTTAATGTCCACATTACTATTAATACCGGATAGCTTTTGCGCCGGCGCGAAAACCATACAGGATAGGGCTTCTGTTCACACATGAGAACAGTGATTTCTTTTCGGCGCGATTTCTGTAACGGAGCGAAACTGCGCCGCGCCGATCCCTAGAGTGGAGAGTGAGTTACATATCGGATAGCGGGGGTGTTCACAGTCTTCACAATATACCAGACAACTTTCCGTGTCAGCGCAAGGAAATTAAAAGCTGTATATAATATATATTTTCATTTAAGGAACGTACTTTTACCAAAATAATTCACTACCACTACCACTACTGTTTTAGACAGTAAGCGTTTACAGTTGGGTCTCCTATCTCTCTCTGGTCTCCTATTGATGATGAATACAAGGCTGCCAATGGCCGATTAATTGCGACCAAAGGTTAATTATATATAATTATAAATAAGGTAGCCTGTGTAGCAGGCGCTTGGAAGTAACGTCGCAGGAGAGAAAGAGGCGCACGAAAGAGACACTTGAGGGGAGAGTAAATGGCGTGTTTCCCTCCGGCGCCCCGTTGTTTCTTGAGCCCATTACGTCCAAGCGCCTGCTACGCAGGTTGTAGTTAAGGTGGCTGAACACAGTTTTGGGAGTTTGCGATCATGAGTATATGTATTTTGCCAAATAATGGCAAGAGAAAGGTTGCAGCTCAGAAGCTGAAATTTGGCAAGTGAAAAATATACTGCTGAAAGATTTTGATTGACAGGTAAAATTTGATTTTTTCGTAGTTTCCATGGCCACACGGGTGATTAAATACAATTGTAAAATTTCACTTTTGCTCAGTTTACATAAAATTCGTTCTTCAGATGTTCCTATAACCTTGCACACAGCTTACTATAATTAATCATCACCATTTGAAACTTCTTTGACCAAATTTTAACAGAAGAGTTTTTAGATAATCAATAACATAATTGCACTGAAATTAATTATTAAATGTGTGACAAAATTCCTTTGTTCAACTTCCATTTTAAAGTTCTCGTTATTTAAAGTAGGATAAAAGTAAAATATCAGAAAATTTCAATGAGTTGATTTTGAGAAATCGTTTTCTGTGCACCATTGCTTTTTCGCAGCGATGTTTGTTTGTCCAATTTAAAACATGCGCCATCACGCGAGATACCGCTGACAGCTAACAAAACTGTGTTCAGCCACCTTTAGCCTGAGATCATGCCCTCTCCCTATTATCCCTTTATGTCTCTCACGGGAAGAGGGCATGATACATTTCTTTGTTGGATCACATGTAAAAAAGCCAGAATCTGGACTTTTTTCTGATTGGATAGGAAACAATACGCGTGATTTGCGCTGTTCCGATTGGCCAAAATGCCGCCATCCGTTAGTTGTTGTTGATTTCAGTCTGCATTTTTGCTTGCGTAATGAGCAGTGAATACACACGCGAGTTCGTTATGAAATTTCTGCCGGCTCAGTTTTCTTGAATTTGAAGAATGCCTAAATAGAAGTTTCATCCATTGAAATATTTTCAATCTCATCGTATACTAAAACAGTTGAAGTCAAAACTTCACCGATCATTTGAATGCAATTTGATACAGGCTACAAGTTACAGACGCGACAAACGGGTTCTTTATTCAAATAATCAATTCATGAATGGAAACTTGACCTGGTTTGACTGTAATTCCTCCTTCAGAAATCATGCTGCGAATTATTCTTAGCGATCTTCGCTTTCACAACACCTTTCTGTTCGTCAAATATGGTGCTTCAGCCTAATTTTTTTTCCACTGCTTTCGGCACAGAACGAACTCAACGAGCTTTAACCAGTAAATTCTTTATCATTTGTAGCTGTTAAATAAAGGTACGGCAGCTCCAGCTAGCAATATTTCATCACAAAAACAACACATTAAAAAATTTTTTTAGGAAGCGCCATCTGAACATGGACGTACTTAAAAATTTTCTTTTCCCTAAAATTGCTTTCAAAAGAGACATTATTCGCGCCAAAATTTGACTCCCGTATGGTAAACGCTTATTGGCTAATAATATGACAGGTCAAGCAGACGTTAGAATATGTAAATTAGGGGGCGGTTGACTGCTTGTTAGATAAATGTATCAGGCGTTATTTTTTTTTTCCCTCTTGAGCCGAAGAAGCAAAGAAGCAAAAAATAATAATAATAATAATAATAACGCCTGATCTCAGGTTAAGCCACCTTAGGCTAAAATAGCAAAAATGTTGCCAAACCTTTGAGATTCTAATAGCCTTTCCAGACTTGTTGGACTGGCTAGCACTTTTAACATATGTGGGTTGAGTTTATTGTTGATTCTCTCGTTTGCTCTGAGAGGTTTTTATCCAGGTACTCTGCTTTTCTCCTCTCTTCAAAAACCAACATTTCCAAATTTTGATTCGATTATTGGAATTGCTACCTCTAAAACTTTATTTATTTACGTATTTATTTATTAAGGACCTATTCTACTGTATCATACAGTCGATGCCACGTAGGAAGCCCCTGCACGTCATTCGCAAAGTCAATATCTGCCCGTGTCATGTTATGTGGGAAAATGGTGCCTCGTGCAGCATAGGAGTGGATCCACACGAACAAGTCATAGTTGCTGATGTTGTGAAAGAGTGCTGTTGGGTCGCGGTTGGCCATGGCGGTGTTGTTGATCTGTTCATATGGGTCAAAGTCACCACATAATTGCTGATGCAGTACCTGGACATGTTGATGTACCTCAGGTATTGATCCTTCTCCTGGGCTGACAACTTGAGGAAATTTTTGCGATTCAGGGTTTTTTTCTGTGCCTAGTCTTTGCCATAGTAGCCAAACTCGCACTTGCTGCAGTCATATCCAGCGAAGTTTGAATTACATTTGCACGTTTTATGGTAAAGAGCATGAGGCCAGTTATGGCGCTCGTCGCCTTTCTGGAAAGGTTGGTAATGACTGTACTTGAAGAGGCAATCACGAATGATCAATTCCTGGCATGTACCTCTGTTTTCATCGTTACTGCATGGCGCGCTAAAGCCTTTTGGGATTGGACAACATTTCTTGTTTTTCAGACTCGTCAGGGATGTACAAACTCTAGGGAACTTGCCTTCAGTACAGGGAAAGGTAAAAATAACAAAGACAAGACACAGGTGATGATACGACAGCTCGTACTCGTGTATTCCTGAATGAAGAAAATGATATTGTTAATTAACGATACTCATGTACTTTTAGGCCTGGGTCCAATGGTTTTACCTGTGGAAAATGATTTATTGCTTATGACTTCGGCGAAGAGGATGGAACTGAATCGAAATTTGACACACAAATAACCCACCGTCCTTAGCATAAATATTGTGTCGGTAAGTCACGTGATATGTCACGTGACATTTTTTTTTGAAAATGTTGAATAATTGACAAATGGACAAATTGATGTCGGGTTTGGAAGAGAAAATAAGTAATAACATTAAAGCTTCACGTTTGAATTGAATGCCCATTGTACTTCAATAATAGATTATAAATTATCAATTAACTTGTTGTTTTCTGACCACAAAGCTAATTGCTTTCTGCTGAATCTTCAGAAACCGCTCAATGAGCGAAAGTCTGTTGTTAGCCGCAGGCTCATGAACTTTGATTTTGAGGCCTTCGAATGAGATGATTATCTCGTCAGGCCTGTCAGCAGATGTCAGTGATCTCTCCCTGGAGTTGCTGGTTGATAGGTATGATAACCTCTTGCGTGACACCATGGATACATTGGCTCCGGTGAAATCTCGGACCATCGTCCTTCGTCCAAACTTCCCCTGGTATAAAGAGGACATTGGCAATGAGAAGAGGAAGAGGCGCAGGTTAGAGCCGGGCAGGTGGCGCTGTAGCCGTCTTGAGTCGGACAGATTGAGCTACCTAGAGCAATGTCGTGTTGTGAATGCAATGCTATACAAAGCCAAGGAATTCTATTATTCGTCGGTTATCCAGGACAACGCCCATGATACCAGGCTCCTATTTCGATCTATAGATAAGCTACTGCAAAGGCAAACTGAGAAAGCATTATCCTTCCGCCGATAATGATCAACAACTTGCAATTGCTTTTGCAGATTTTTTCACCACCAAGATAGAAAGGATTCGTGAAGAGCTTGTACTTAGGAAAAGTGGACTTGTTCACTCCCCTGGTCTGGCCAAGCCCACCTGCCTGTCACGGTTAAGTGAGTTTGATTTGGTCACTGATGAGGACGTCTTGAAAGTGATCTGAAGTTACACTATCAAGGCTTGTAACCTTGATCCCCTGCCAGCAACCATTATGCGAAGTTGCCATTCGGCTCTTGTCACGGCATTCAAAACGGTAATCAGTCTATCGCTGTCGACTGGATCGATACCAGAGGATCTTAAGATTGCCTCGCTGCGGCCGCTACTGAAGAAATCGAATGTTGACTGTGAGCAATTTTCCAACTTCCGACCGGTGTCCAACTTGAAGTTTCTTCCAAAACTGGTAGAGAAGTCTGTATTTGCGCAGTTGAATAATTATCTTACGATTAATAGCTTGCACGAACGTTTTTAATCTGCGCACAAAGCGCACCACAGTACAGAGACCGCACTGCTAACGATCACAGATGACATCTTACTTTCACTGGACAGGAGGGACAATGTGTTCCTATTGTTACTAGACTTGTCAGCGGCATTTGACACGGTTAATCATTCTTTACTACTTTCGCGTCTGAAGAACTCGTTTGGCATCACGGGAACTGTTCTGCAGTGGTTTCATTCTTATCTGTCTGGTCGATCTCAGTTTGTCGAAGTTAATGATACACTAGTAATAGTTGACACTACAGCTGCCCCCGCTCTGTATATTGTCGGTCAATAGCATTCTTAGTCGTTGTGTAGCTCTTTGAAATATCCTCAGTCATAATGAAGATTTTCACACATATTCCATACAATAGGTGACATAAATACAGAAAACGCAAGGTTCAATGCATAGTTTCAGTTCGATTTACACAGCTTTGATCAAAGCATTCTTAGTTTCGAGAATAGTTTATTCTAAACCATAAGAAAAGATTTAATTAGAAGTTGAATTTTTCGCTATTTCACTTTCACTTTTTACATTCAGTTCATTTTATTTACCGGAAAGTAAGCCTTGGAAATTAAAAGGACGTTTGATCAATTCAAGCTCGCGCATTCTAGTCTTATTTTAAACTTTAAAGCGGAAGGACATCTGTGAACAGGGAATAAGTCAGCACAGAATTTGATTGTCGTTGAATTTTTGTAATCGTCCATCGTTCTTCTAGTGATAAGCTAGCCGTTGCTCACTCGTCTTGCTTGTTTGGGGCTGAGTTTATTCCGGTCAAAGAGAGAGAAAGTGTCTGGCAAGGTTTCCAATCAAAGATTTGTGTCTGGTAAACTCTCCAAGTGTTCATATATACACAGTTATACGCACCTTATAACTTCATCTGCGCTTAACGAGTGTCTTTTTGTCCATAACTTTCAAAACAACTGCTCCACAGCATAAATGTCACTGATAACACGTATAGAAGTATGACAGCACAATAAATGTCACAAAATCTACCTAACCGGTCTCTTCGGGATTTTCTGTCTTTACGTCATCTTAACCATTTCGTACTTGCGGGCGCAAACAATAGAAACGTCATCATTACCTACCGATTCCTCGCTGCCCCTGTTCAAGCAAATCGCGATTTTTTCTAAATTGACTGTATTACTGTATATTTCAACTGTAAATACTTTCCTTAATATACGCGCGCGTTACTAGAGTGCCTCCTCGGGATTTCGCGTTCTGGGCGAAATTCCTGCGGGGGCAAAAATCGTCGGTTAGGGATCTGACTGTGGGCGTTCCGCAGGGCTGTGCCCAAGGACTTGCCGAGATAGTACGAAGTCATGGACTTGACTATCATTTCTATGCTGATAATACTCAGCTCTACATATCATTCAAAGATTGTGATGTCGATGTTGCAAGGCTGCGCGTAGAGAACTGTGTCGCTGATATATGTCATTGGATGGAAGTAAACGAGCTGAAACTCAATCACTAGAAGATAGAAATTATGCTTATTTACTAGAAGTACCATACTCGTCCACTCTTCAGCTACTTCAGTATCGGTAATGAGAGGCTGACAACCACCGCCAATGCCAGGATTCTGGGAGTAGTACTTGATGACAACATGTTATTTGACGTGCACGTCTCAGACAAAGATAAGAAAATATCTCACACAGGAGTCTTGCGAAATTGCTGTGCATGTTTTTATAACATCTAAACTAGACTATTGCAATTCCTTGCTCTACGGTTGTAGGAAAATGCAGTTAAAGAAGCTTCAATATGTTCAGAACGCTGCCGCCAGAATCGTTACTCAGACTCGTAAATTGTATCACATTACGCCTGTTTTATTTGACCTTCACTGGCTTCCTGTTAGTTATCGTATTGTTTTTAAAGTTCTTTTACTAGTTTTCAAATCACTTAATAACCTTTCACCTTGCTATCTGGCGGACAGATTTAGTTATCAATCGCATTCCAGGAACTTGCGGTCCGCATCTAAGGAGCTGTTAGAATAACATCGATCATTCACGAAAACTTACGTGAACAAGGCTTTTTCAGTCTGTGCCCCTAAACTGTGGAATTCGCTACCATTAGATTTACGTAAGTCACCATCTTTAATTGGTTTTAAGAAAGGATTAAAAACATATCTTTTTAGGCAATTTTTAGAGAGTGGGTCATTGTTTTTGTAAAATGATTTTAAGACGTGTAATATATGGATTGTAAATAGATTTTTAATGTTTTTTATTCCATGCTTATAATATGTAACTATTTTTCATTTTCTCCCCTTTTTTACAAAGCGCCATGAGCTCAGGCAATGAGCGCTACATAAATAAAGTTATCATTATCATTATTATTGTTATTATTATTATTATTATTATTATTATTATTATTATTATTATTATTTGTTCCGAACACAATTTTGGCCCAGGCTTTTAAAACCCTTGAGTACCTTACGGTATTCTGTTGCGTCCCTTTGTTGTGGGTACAGGTTCTATAGTCCTTATAGATATACTACACTCGTGCAGTTTTCACAGCTTAGTAGAGTGATTTCTTTCCTCCAAGTTAGCAAGGAATTTTTCGTTACTCAGTGCATTCCCGCGGATTCGCCATAGTTTGTACTTTATTACAGGGTACAGTGACGGAGATATAAAGATATATTTATATTATGTATGATGACAAACCACCTTTGTTGGCGTATTTCATTAAATGTAATCGAAAGGATTCCCAGAAACTCACTTTCCGGTTTAAATGAAAGCTTACAACACTGTACAACTTAAGTAGATACATTCTAGTAATCATTGATTATTCTTGTAGTATGGCAGGTTAAAAGCTTTCTTAGGCATTTGAACAACCACTAATTTTCAGAAACGAGTCCGAAACGAAACACTTAGCTTCGTATTTACTTATGATAATTCCAGTTGCTACTACGCTAGCGCTGTCAGAATACATTTTCTCATAAGCACCAGGTTAAATTGATGTGAAGTACGGCATTTGACCCGGGCCTAGCAAACAGTGTCAGTAAAGTACTATCGCCTAATGTAAGGGAATCCAAGACAGTTGTGGATTCTGGATTCCAGGTACTGGATTCCAGTCTTTGTCAGTGGAACTTGGATTCTGGATTTTAGTCGTTAATGGATTCGGGATTCCTTGAGCTGTATTCCAGATTCAAAAGCCCAGATTCCAGATTTCACAAACAAAATTTCTCGGGTTTAGGATTCCACAGGCAAAAAATTCATGGATTCTGGAATCCGGATACCCTTACGGGGCGCGAATTCTTAACCGATTGGGCGCTGGATGAGTAACTTGCTAAACATCGTTTAGTTGGTATTGTCAGTAAAATACTCTTACCATTTTCTGCGTTTCCCTTTTTGTCGACGCATGAGCTCTCCACTTCAAGCTAAACCGAGCGCCATTCATTGGAACAAATCATTAAGTTTAAATGTTCTGCACATTTAATTTGCAAAAGAATTCTCACGTGTAAAGCTCTTTTTCCACGATTTCCTATTCTCTGGAAGGCCTTGAAGGGAAGCATTTCACCTTTATGATTCCGAAAGCCAAAACAAGGCAACATACTTCTTTTTAAATAAAACTTGATCCCTTTCGTCAAATCTAAAATCACACGGCATTGTTTTGAACAAACACGATGAAAGTGCACCTTTCTTCCTTCAAACTGCAGTCGGCACTGTGGATAGATTGAAACTTCTAAGCTCCTAGCGCTGGGTTTACCCCCAAACAGAATGCTCCGTTTTAATTTCAAGTGTCTTGAAATAAATCAGCTAACTCACACCCTTCAATTTCCAAGAAATGCATGGCAACTAACGAAGCGTAAACGATGTGTTTAGCAGCTGTGCGGAGCTGTACATTACATTTCACTGTTTTCGTCAGAATTATTGGCCGTAAATGCATTGCGGCCACGAGACAAGAAACATAACCGAGTCCAGTCTCAACAAGAGACAAATCGCTTCTGCCTCTGCTTCAAAAGCCGCCATAGGCGTATATATTTATTGAATGCGGACGTGCAATAAGCGAGATAACTACTCGTACTCGTTTCTTTTATTCGATATTGTCTATTTCAAGTGTATGACCCACTTTATATGAGAAACATGAATTTCGGTAAAATCCTATTATATAAGTCGAGTTATCTGTTGAATAGGAAACACTTATAGTATATCATATCAGTGACCAATCTACTCGTTTTCGTTAATTAATATGTAAGTCATATCTGAATTGATTTGCAATCGACTTTTTTTAAAATAATCTATTGAATAGGAAACTCTTATTACAATTTCTTACTAATAGGCATGTTTAATTGTATATCCTAACACGTTTCAAAAGCCATTATATATATACTTGTGTCTTCACTCAATAATGTCTATTTCTGTAACATTGTCTATTTCACGCGTGTCTCCTGGTTAATAAGTAGGTAACTATGAATTAAGAAAAAATTCTATTTTAAAGGTAAGTTGCCTTTTGGGTAGGAATTTTTGATTAAAAATACCCAATGGGCTTTACTATGCGACAGCTTTAACGGCTCAGCCAACTGAATTTTTGTCTATTTCACGTCATATGTACATTGTGTATGTATTAAACATACAAACAAACAAACCCTGCTTTATGAGTAAGTTACCTACTACTGGCAGAGCAAACGCTAATTACAAATGTCTACCGAACTAGTGCGCGTAATTAATTCTGTCTAACATCCTCAAATTTGTCACAATTTTAGCGACCTCTTCGACCAATTTTTTATGCTTCGTGCGCATGACCTTCTTAAGAAGGGAGTAATTTCTGAATTAAACTGAAACATGTTAAAAGTAACCTATTTGCTTATGAAGGAATATAACTTTTTCATGGTCGTTAGTCAATGTTCAGTTGTCTTTACAAAAAGAAAAAACTCCTGATGTAACGATCATATACAAAAAGTAGGCTAAGCATATAGCCTGACGTCTCAGCGATCTTCAGCCAAGCCTGACCTCTATTAACAAGGTTAATCCCAAGCAAGCATTTGCTATAAACCTCTTTCGCTTGTACTATGCTTTGTTTTCTCAATGTAGGTCACGTGACAGTAGGTGCGGTCACACTAGACGTCTTCTCCAAGGCTTCAAATGGGAAATAGCTTGGGTTGGGTTCACTCTGGGTTTTGATCGTTTTCATGTTTGCAGTTACACAGCGATAAATTCGCCAAGGGGGAAGAAAAAACTTGAACCTGGTATCGCGGGAATACGTCGTTGTAAACAAAGGCAAATTGTCGCTCAACAATCAAAAGTACGGGCTTAATTTACAAAAAAAGTGTCAACGACTTCATAAGAAAAGAATTCTTGAACACTGATGTAAAGAATACTTTTGGGTGTTTCAAGGTGCTTTTGAATTACTTAAAAAAAAATTCACAGTACGAGTAGGATTTGGCGCTAAGAACATTGCATTTTCTACTGTTTGGTGCCTCTTTAGGTTTTATTTAACCCATAGAACGTAACTCGGGAACTGTCTTTTGTTCTTTTTGACGTATCCATGGAAATGTTCCCGAGGAAATTCCACCTTAGGGAGATTGGTTACACACAAAAAGTCGCTTCCACGTGGGCAATAGCCTGTTCCAGGCTCCGAGATAGTGGTAGAAAGTCGTTCAATAATAACCCTTTCTCAAGTCGTGCGCGTCTTAATTTCGCTTTTAATACGTTCCCACTACGTATACTATCTGAGAGCCTGGCACAGGCTACGTGGGCAACAGCCATTTGCCCATGCGTAAAATCGCCAGCGTGACCGCACCCAATAATCCAGATAACTTTGTCTTTTAAATTTCGTCTTATTCTGGTGCTTATGTACGCATACTTTATGAAAAGACAAAAGGCCAAATTCATTGGGAAAACAAAACATACTGGTTAAAGAAATCCATTTCCCACGACGGTAAATGAGAAATATATACGGCTTTTGGACACCATTACTAAAACGTTACGGAGAATAGAAGACCTCGCTTTCTCTTTGATTTATCACGTCAAAAAGCCTAATTTCACTGACAGTAATATAAGAAAAGAACATCGCTTTTACAAACTAAATTAAAAGCAAATAAGTTGTAAACCTGTTTTCAAACCGAGTAATTTGTTTTCTAGCAACACTTGTGTAAACTAAATTGTCACGATAAACAATTACACACGAATTCCCGCACAAACGATTTCTAGCGATTCAACTCTATCAGCTACGAAAGTTTTCACAAAATTCTTGATGGACGTTACACAGATCTTGACAGTTCATCGATTATCCTTTGCATGGTTGGTCTCGCTTCAGGATCTGTCTGCAGGCATCGCCGCACCAGGCCTCTCAACACATGGTTCGTCATGAGCAGAACTTGCTGTTCACGCCTTCTAGGATCTGGAAGTTCTCGGACGCACATTTCACAAAGAAGAACACCAAAGCTATAAACATCAACCTATGAACGATACACATATTTTTTATTTTTAATATTATTATTTTGTTTTTTGCTGACCTCGCAAGTGGTTTCGAAACAATTGAAACTTCCCTAAAGTTCAGGCCCATCAGTTGTGGACAGTTCTCGGTCTCACCTACTTCTTAGTTATAGCGCTGAATGTTTCCTAATAAACAACTCAATATAAACTTTACGTTGACAAAGAGCAGGGTTAGTGTGTCACGTAAGTCTTCTTGTCACGCGGTGCGGAGATAATGACACGAGGAAAAAAAATTCGCCCAGCAACGCAGCTTTGATTGGAGTAGAGCTGATGGCGCAAAAATCTTGAGTTTACCTGTCGACTGTATTACACCTGAGATCAGACTAAATAAAATTTCGGAATGAATATGTAAGCTGTTACAATTGGACCTGATCATTTGGAGTTTTGATTGATGTAGAACAAGTGCGATGTGAGATCTAATGGCAACTGATTTGTTAGGCAAACTGGCTTTTTAGCGCGCCATCATCTCCGCGCCGCGTGAGTGGGAGGCTTACGTGTCATGCTAATCCATTGTGTTGTGTGTCAACGTAACGTTGTTGCATTCTTCAGGAAACATGTTACAAACATATTTTAACAGAAGAACTCTTTCGAAACCACATGCGCGGTCAACGAAATTACATTCCTATTGCCTATATTAGTTTAATAATTTAAGGTTATTTGAGACATCTTTTAATATTTATTTTAGATACCGTTGTAGCACATTTTTAGGTCATTTTAGATCATTCCCTCTTTTTGTAACTACGCAACCAGTATCAAATTCAAATCTGCATTCCTGTGTGCGTAATTAGACCTGAATTTTTAACGATAATCTCTATGTATTCGGTCAGATTAAAAAATCTTTAAATGGATAAAATTAATTTTAAAACATTTAATGAGAAAACCACACGTCTACAGCTTGCTTTCGTTGTGTACAGTGTAAACTCCTGGAAAACGATCAGTAGTCGAGATTACCCATAAATGTTTGAGGTCAAACGGTGAAGGTAAAAACTATCACCGTTACCACTGTTTGGCCGGGAATTAAGCAGTAAGAGAATGAGCACAGAATGTTAGTCTGGCTCACACAAAGCTAAACAGATCAGCATCAATTTGCTGCTTTCAATTTTACACCAAGGTGAAGAAGGACAAAGTGTAGTACAGTTTCTTTTCTGTGAGTAAACGACCAACCAGCGCTCAAGATCAATGCACCAACGCGTTTCTTCTAAATCTAAAACGTGTTGATGAAACAGTGTTGAATCAGAAAAGCCCTAAATTCAAGAAAACTCACCTTGACCGTTTGGTTCGATGTAAGTGCCTCAGGTGCGCAGTAAATCATAGCTCCAGGAGCCACTGTCATGGTCTGCTGCATGAAATTAGCAGTGCCATAGTCTGACACTTTGCCTCTCCATTGGTCACCTTGTCGCCATAGCAACACATTAGCACTGCTCACATCCCGGTGAATGATAGGCTCTGGTTTCTTCTGATGAAGGTAGTTGATTGCTCGGGCTACATCCAGAAGAATGACACGTATTTCTATCTCGGAGAGTTGCCGCTGTTCTAACAGAGCTCGCAAACTTTTTTCCATCAGCTCCGTCACAAACAGAGGGTTTCCCTCATCATTAGTGGCGCCGATAAACTGAAGCAAGTGAGGATGGCGGCATTTGGATCCAATATTCATTTCTCTCTCAAAAAGACGAATATTATGAGGGGAAAGAATTAGATCATGAATTTGCTTTACTGCTACAGTGCAGCCACAATACACGCCTTCATAAACACTTCCCCAGCCTCCCCTGCCAAGGCATTTATTGGTCATTTGAATTTCATCGCGGGAAATGACCCAATCGCATGATTCCTGTTGTTGCTGTTCACTTATTGTTTGCTGGGCTAACGAAAGACTTAACACAAGCTCATTTACTTCCTGGTCTTTGTCTCTAAGCTGTCTTTCCAAGGTGAACACCTGTTGTTGGGAGTTTTCAAATCGCTGGCGCATCTCCCTAAGCTGACTTTCTAAGTTTTCTTCACGTTGTTGTGTCTCCCTCAACTGCCTTTCCAGGTTTCCTTCCCGTTGCTGCCTCTCTCTCAGCTGCCTTTGTGAGTTTTCTTCCCGTTGCTGTGTCTCCCTCAGCTGCCTTTGTGAGTTTTCTTCCCGTTGCTGTGTCTCCCTCAGCTGCCTTTGTGAGTTTTCTTCACGTTGCTGTGTCTCCCTCAACTGCCTTTCAAGGTTTCCTTCGCGTTGCTGCATCTCTCTCAGCTGCCTTTGTGAGTTTTCTTCACGTTGCTGTGTCTCCCTCAGCTGCATTTGAAGGTTTCCTTCGCGTTGCTGCTGTCTTTGCGAGTTTTGCTGTAACTCCCTCAACTGTCTTTGCAAATTTTCTTCGCGTTGCCGCATTTCTCTGAGCTGCCTCTCTAAATCTCGTTCGTGCTGCCGTACTTCTCTTGATGGCCTTGGTGTTCGCGTTTGTACGCTTGCTCCACGTAGATCTTGCATATTTTCTGTAAGGGTTTGAGAAAAGGAAATTAATCACTCAAAGTCGCCCAGGAGAGGAGAAGAGTATGTCTTGGTAGCAGAAAAAAGAAAAAAGAGAAATCTAAAATTCAAGTATTTAAGGCAGAAGGCATACCTAAAAATAAACAAAAACTACGGCATACAAGGTTTATTTATAACATAACAAAAGTAAACCGCGAGCTCTGATTGGTCAGTTAGCCATCTACCATTTGCCCGTTGGTGCACGCAAAGAAAAGCTAGCGCGGCAAAATTGAGGCAAATATTAAGCAAATCTGCTCTTCTGTGCGGTTTAACATGCACCGATAAAATGTACAAATGAAAAGTGGAAGTTGAAGAAAATACTCAGTTGTCGTTTTGAAGAAAAGTCAAATGATCGAGCGACAAATTTGACAAATTTGCCCTAGAGAAATTCCTCACTGTTTTGTTTGCGGCTGGGAGCTTAGAAGAAAACCCGAGTGAGCGGAGTTTTTATGAGGATATAATTCCGAGATTGAAGGTAAATTGTTGTTTTCTTTCTGGGGTATTGATGTCAACGGGAGCAAGAGACTGTCTCCCACCCCGAGTGTGAGTAATTTGAGTCTCAGGCCGTGTCGCTATCTTTCAACGGTAACGCGGAGTTCAAACCAAGGTTCTGTCGATGGCTTCAGACGAGAAAGGTTGCATAGATTGGCGACCTTTGATTCGCTCTGGGTGGAAAGGCGTCTTAAAGCAAAATCACGAATGGAACGCAAAACTATCGTGTGTTACCTAGGCGGAATTTGGAGGCGACTGGAGCCGTTGGAGCGAATTTACGGCCGTTTTCCTTCGGTGGATCCGTCGGGCCGCTTCGCTGGAGTCCCCAACCTTCGTAAACCTTTACATAGAGAGAAAACCTTTTACAGTACAACCCATAAAACGGCCATAAATCGGCCCATAGACCTCACAAGAGAGTCGTAACAGACACTTTATGCAAGGTATGCTGTTTTTTATTTGTTTTATATTTTTTCGTAGGACGGAAACGATAGGTTTTTTCCCCTACAAATCCTTATATTTCGAATGTTACGTAACATGGCCGATGTTCGCCGATACTCATATTTCGAACTTGGGCTACCTGTGTTGACTGTTGCATATGTGCTTCTACAGGTCAAAGTTAAGGCTCGGCCAAGCTGCTCAGTGGCAGTTATTCTCGCAGGCATCCATGTTTAACATGTTTACTGCTTTGGATGGTGTACTACTTGAGGAAGACTTTGTCGTGTTTGTATCGGGGTTGTAAATCCGATGGCGTGTAAATGCATGACAAACTGGCGAATCTGAGACCGTTAATGCCTGTGCTTGAGGTCCCTGAGGAGGTTTTGCCCTGAGTTCAAAATCCTTAATTTTTAAATCATTCCCCCCAACTGACACAACACCATAATTTCTTTGAAAAAGTAAACCCCTTACTTTCTTACTCTACCGGCATTTTTTCTCATGCATACGACTTCAGTGTAAAAAACATGTTTAGTGCCCCTTTTTGGCAGAGCCCTGCTATGTAGCGAACTGTAGGGAGTCTCCCCTGTTTACAAGTTCACTCAACATTGTCACTTTCAGACTGGTTCTTAATACTTCCCCACAAGACTTAACGTTTAGCTGCATTTTTGAGCCACTGTGCCACTGGCAATCAAATCTTCGGGTATAGAACAAGTTCTAAACGGCTTATTTCGTTGAAACAGCAATGCCTGACATCAAAGCAGGAGGTCTTGTGATTTTTTATAAATCTTAATAATTCTAAATAGCCAATCAGGTGTTCTGTCTGAGTTTGTTTCATTAATGGTCGCAAAGTTATTACGTTAGAGGTTAAGTTTTTTATTATGCCGAATTATGCCGAACTAGAAACGCCGGATATAACTCCAGTCTGGAATTCGTCACTCTCAACTCACACCTGACCGGACTCTTGGAAGAGGGCGAACATTAACCCCCTTACCAAAGTTCGACATCCCCAAAGAGGACTCTGACTACCGAGGCATCACGTCACGTCCGTGATCGCAAGAACATTCGAAAAAGTTGTGTACCACACCCATGTCAAAGCGATTGTAGAAAAGAACCTTAGCCCCAGCCAATTTGCATACAGGCAGCAAGGGGGTGACTGCGCAAACGCCTTAATATCTATCCAACACCACGTATATAGACACCTAGACAACAGAGACTGTAATGCAGTTCGTTTGTTTACAATAGATTTTAGCAAAGCGTTTGATTCGGTAAATCATAGCAAGTTATCAGCTAAACTTAAGCAGCTTCCCTCAATCCTTACATCGTTAATTGGTACCATAGCTTCTTGATTGCTTGGCAAGAGCAAATTTTCTATAATAATCACCTCTGCAACTGGAAGGTCGTTCACAAGGGGACCACCCAAGGAGCGTAAGCGGGCCTTATCTATTTAATATATTTTTGGATGACCTAGAAATTTCTTTTAACAATGCTCCTGCTCTACTTTAAAATGCTGGTGAGTCTACAATAGTGCCTCCTGTTAGTAATCAATGTGGTCCGTCTGCTAACCTTGTGGGACAATTTATGACATGGTCTAAAGAGAACAACATCTCTTGCAATCCAAAAAAATGTAAAGAACTTATCTTCAGAAGTAAAGGCAACAATTCTCAATATAACCCCGTATATGACATTTCTCAATGCAGTAGTCTTGTTTTACTGGGGGTTACGATCCAGAGTGATTGTAAGCCTGTTTCGGGCGCACGTTAATCTCAAATTAATTAAAGCAAACAAATGTCTCCATGTTTCAAGGACCCTTAGAAAAGAGGAATATTCACAAGCTGAAAAAGATCACTTGTTTACTGTCTTAGTTTCGCCTAAATTTTTTTATATATGGCGGTTGACCCGTATATGGAGCTTCTGAACCTGATCTTAATATTATACGGAACTTTTTAGATAGACGTCATAAACGCCGTTTTATTTCTTACCCCGTTTTAAAAGAGGATCTGTTAATTAATAGAATCAAGACCGTAAAATTTTTAAGAAAGTAACTTCTATAAACAATCACCCGCTAGCTTCATATATTCCTTCAAAGAAAGTCTGTTCTTATAATCTCATGTCTGCCTTTGTAAATAGATTAATATTTAAACTCAACCTTAGTACAGGGTAGTTAGGATTCTATGATTATATTATTCATTTCATTATGTATTTTTCTATGTTTTATTTATAAACAGTTGTAACATCGGATATGTATCTTTATCTTGTGTGAAATAAAGACCCATTATTATTACTATGATTATGATTATTATTATTATTATTAGTTAACGTTTTTATTACATTAGTGGTTGATATTTATTACATTAATGGTTAGTATTGCATTAGTGGTTGATATTTATTACATTTATTAAGTGGTTACTTCTTAAACGGGCGGAACTTATCCAGTTTTCTTTAGCTTGAAACATGCCTAAGAGTATTGCTACTCTCTCCTCGACAGCGGTTCGTGAGTTTCGCGCTTATTTTCCGACCTGTTATAGGTGCTTGCAGCATCCTTGCTTGGCGAGTTGCTTCGTAGTCATTCAAAAAGGAAATTTGTTGAGACCATATAGGAGCTATTTTTCTATTATGCTAATTCAAACCGGCCACTTCTTGCTCAAACTCATTTATTTTCCGCAGGCAACTCTTTAAAGCAAAACGGTAAACTAATAGTATAATCCTGTATTACCTCAGGCGCGGATCCACACCAGTTTCTACAGATCGACTTACGGGAATCGGTCAACTTTTTTATAATAAATACATTTTTAATAATATAAAAATTTCCAAGTTAATCTTGAAAATGGTTTGGACTCGCCTTGCTTCATACCCACTACAATACGAAAATTGACCTTGATGAAGTAATCCGCCGATTTGCAAGGATTCATCCTCAACTGGCCAATATCCTGTCTGAATGACTCAGAAACCAAGGAAAAGGGTGTTTAGGAAGTTAAAATCCGAAAAATTCCAGAGGGGGAGAATGCCCCCGGCCCTCTAGAACATGGCGCTTTCGGCTTTCGCTGTTACAAAAACGGTCAGTAGTTATCCTAGATCAGCGCCTGTACCTCATATCCTTACCATCGTTCTAATTTTAATACTTATAGGTTTTAAACGACGACGTCACGCACAGAGACGTCGTTTCCTTTCAAGTCATTTCACAACGTGTAGCAGCAAGTTTATCACTTTAGCACTCTGGAAATCGTTAAAATAAAAGGCTGACAGAATGATCTCTCGGTATGTATACTGAACATGTATACGAAACACAAAACCACATGGAAAGTGCTTTGTGCGGTATTTAAGCACGAATTTGTTTTTGCATCTCTCTGATATGTCAAACGTACGCGCGTACTTTCAATTGAGTATTCTACATGTATATTTCTTTTAGTTAATCTAGTTTGAAGCCTTGTGCAGGCTAGTACTCTTTGTCAAGAGATGTTTCCTTTTTACTTTTATCGGCTCCCAGTACTTTATAACTCGGTAGAATCTCAATCAAACTGCAAGTTACAAGTAAGTCTTGTTTAATTTTGAGATGGATAGGTTAGCGCTATTGAGTGTTTCAACATTCTGGGCCAACGTGAGATACGTCTTTAGAAACAACGAAATGAATTAAGGGGTAAAAAAATACAATCATGTAGCTCTTCCCAGATTCATCTAGCACTGGTTGATGAATTACCCACAGAGAATAGTCTTAAAAAAAAAGAAAAAAGAAAGAAAAATGGAAACGGGCTTTGAGAAAGTGTAACTAATGTTTGACCCTAAGCTTTCATCTAGTCTTAAATATGATCTGATTTGTTGACTCCAAATGACTAGAATTGGGGCCAGCCCGATATCATGCTCTTTTTAAGTAGATAAATGTTGTTCTTGTAGTCTGCCCTTCTTGACACTGTTGACAGCGCGTTTTGACGCGAGGATTGCCGGTTGACCAAATTCATAAGCGTTAATGTTTATAAACTTTAGTCTGGATATTTCACTCATCAATGTTAAATATTTAAGCCCAGCTATTCATACATATGTACGGGTTTAACAATATGCTTCTAAATTCAAAAAACCAAACTAACTACTGTCGTCATAAGCTTGAGCTACCTGTTTCTAAACTTACGTACATAGAGTAAGTTTAATCCTATTCCTCTTTTTATCAAAAACCATATTTCACACTCTTACCTTTGATAGTGGCGGGCATCTTGTCAATAAAAAGCTGAAGCTCATTTGGATCAGCATCTTTTAGTTGAACAGTGTCTCCTGTTAAATCCAGCCCAGTAATTGTAACTGTATCCTTGGTCACCTTCATTGTAGATTCAGGTAGAATAGGAAACTGAAACGGTAAGGAAAGATAATGATATAATTCAAGTTACATTGTCTATAGTGGCAGTCGTTTCTGTAAAATAACAACTAAGCACAACTTTTCAAACCCCATTTCACCGAGATCTTACTTGCTACAGGATAAACGGTTATGCCCTCAGTTACAGCACAATGAGTTCAATATGTTCTGCTCAAAATCATTTGTCAAGACCGCTCATACTTATATTTTCTTTTTTTTTTTCTGGATTGGTAAATTTTCGGTCCTCAACTTAATGTACGGACCAAAGAAAAAACAAACAGATCTATCCTTTCCCTCATCATCTTTTTTGACCCATAAGGTACCAAAATGTGGTTTAGTTGTAATCTTTCAGGATTAAAATTAACCACGATCCTTGTTTTGCCCCTTAATTTATGGCCCGCCGCTTTATACCCATTACTCTCCACTACTTTTCCTAGCTCTAGGACAGTTTAATAGAGGTAAAGACAATAAAGAATTACTGATTGGGACCTCGAAAACAGGTGACCACGGCTGCTTAATAGAGGTAACTGCTAAATGCAGGTCATTTTTTACAATAATTAAGGGAAGCTATTTCCAGGACTTTAATTGGTGACCGCTTATAGAGGTCCGCTTAATACAGGTTTGACTGGTTTGACTATAGAGGCAGTTACAGTAAACACCCGCTAATAAGAACCTGTGGTTAAGAACCTCCTGGCAGAAATCTACACTTTAATACCTAAGAATACAAGAACCTGTTTAGGCAAGCTAAACCAAGCAGGTTCTTAAATATGCGATTAATTAAATTTTAACACTTAAATTATAAACAATTTAACAAAGGAATGTAACTTTGAGTTGTAAATTTAAGTACAACAAAAGCATACTGTACTAAACTGTATGATATTCGGTAATAAGTGTTGTTAGGGTTATCATAATTGTGAATAAACAGAAAATTTATTAATTTTTGTTATTATCAACAATCTATTATGTCCTTCAAAATAATTACTTGTAAGAACCTAATTAAGAACCTACCTAGCCTAAATTGCCAATAAGTGTCCCAAGAACAAGAACCTACTTCAAAAAAGACCTTCTTATCAGCGGGTGTTTCGGGTACCATAAAATAACATCTGAAAACAACCATATCATGTTCACACCCCATTTAACCATAGCCTGCGAAACGCAGACGTATTTCCGGTCGTCGCTTCGCTCCCTCCAAAAAACCGGACATATATATGCGTTTCGCAGGCTAATTTAACCAAGACACCATCAGCTACAGCAAAATTTGTGCAATATGTTTAGCTCAAAATCATTTGTCAAAACCATAGCCTTGCAGCTCTTTAGAACCTCTAATTTGTTTGGATTCCTATATGTCGCAGCTCTTTTGTTTCAGGCTAGGTTCCATTGTTACTTTGTTTGTTCATTGCTTTATTCTCAGCTAATCCCTATGAGGTTGCCCAGTATACACTAGATCATGTGGTCCGTGGCTCGTCCCCAGACCTTTAGGAAGAGGGCCACACCACATCTTCCTTAATTCCCTACCATGAGCAAGCCAGGCAACATCTTCTCTCCCCGACATTAGATGAAAGATTATAGTTTAAATGAACTTGAGTTAATATCTTGTACTTTTTAATAGTTTTTACATATTTTAGCTTTTTAATGTCTTTGCGAATTAGGAGTATTTTGTATTTTTTTTTAAATTTTATGAGATCCTTTTTGAAAACCATATTTTATATGAAAAAGTAATCTCAATAAAGATTATTATTAGGTTATTATTAATTTGAACAAAGAAGGGTAATAAGAGGTAAAAAATATATTAAGATGATAACTATTTTTATACAAGACACACAAAAAACTCATTATCGGACTGACTTAATAATACCTGAAGAATAACTTTATAACGTAGGGTAAATTTTACTTGACAATAGCGGCCATTGTCGCATCATTTCAGGTTTCATGCAATACTATTTGGTGTGAATTTTAACTTGTACAGTGTACAAGAAATGGAGTATATAAAAAAAGTCTTAGTTATCAAAGATTATCATAATAATACCGATCAAGAAAGTCGACAGGCTCACCAGTGCAAAGCACAGAAAGTTATTAAGTGAGCTTTGAAATGAAAAAATTAAACTTGAACCAACAGATGAAACAAATACAATGAAACCTCTACTCAGGGGACACCCTCAGGACCAAAGCAAGTGTCCCTTGAATAGAGGTTCCCCCTGATTAGAGGTTGGGCCGGGGTTTGTTAATAATTAACCAACAAAGACAGCATAAAAGAATCATCATTACGGACTTTAAGATGCCACGGTGATGACAAAGAGAACGTCAAAAAGGCAATAGGTTGAAATGAATCTAGGCAAAGCAACAACTCTGCACGTTTTTGTACATTTTTTTAGCCATCACTGCACGACCAGGACAGGAAAATGCCAAATTTCACGTTTTATGGAGGACGTAAACAAGCGATGGCGAAATTTTCTTTTTCCTCATCAGGGGTGTAGCTTGGGGTGGTTCTGGGGTGCGCCCCCCCCCCCCCCCTTTGTGAGATAATTGTTTTTTGTCCCTATAATTCAGGTGGCCAAAACGCACGAATCTGAAGAATCAACCTGCAATAAATCTTTTCCAGTGCTAGATTGTTAATTACTCCATTTACAGTTGACCATGTTCCTTTTCATAACCAAAATAGAGCAATTTATGTGGAACGTAATTAACCTATGCAGCTAGTTTGTAGGCTTGTCGTTTAGTAAAACACGGCCTGGATGTCGACATGCCAATCTGGTAAGTAACCTGGGTTTGACATAGTGATAGTGTTAGCCCAGCCCCCCCCCCTCCCTCCTTGAAAAATCTTAGCTACGCCCCCGTTCCTGAACTTGGATATGATTCTTAGGAATTTGGCTGACAAAGACTACGCTTACATTTGACAAAGTAAATGGTTGGAGTAATCGCGATAGAGACTGGAAATTCACTTTTTAAGCGACGTTTTTGTGGCCATCACCGTCGTGGTATCTTAAACTCCGTACTATTTTATTTTCATTTTCTTTTTTAATTTAATTTTTTTTAATCGGTAACACCTATACAGAAATGGTAATACTGAATAAACTTATTGGTGTCATTGCTATAATTATATGTTGAATTCACACAAGTGCATTTCATTGATTTATGTGAGACAGTTCAGTTTGGGAAAGCTTCCATTTTTGATTAGTGTGCTCTTAAAGATATCCGGACCCAGAAAAAGTGTCCCTTTCCTCTGAATAGAGGTCACTCGTCCCTTTAATTGAGGTTACCTAATAAATACAAAGATTATGCGCACATTTTCCGGGACCAAATTTTGTTTCCCCTGAATGGAGGTGTCCCAAAAGAGGATGATCAATTGTACTGTTTGCTCAAATAAACCAACATGGATGAGGTTGTTAGCATATATATATACTGCATGGGTTAATGGTTCAACAAAATCTTGATTCCTTTCCCAAGTTTAAAATACAATTTATTAAAACCTACAAAATTTTCTTAAGTTGAATTAATATCAGTGCAGTGAACACACTTGGGTGGTGGCACTTTGAGATTTAAAGAGATATCTTGTTTTTGACAGGCAACTAACTGTCCTTGTGAACATGACTTGTGATTGGCTGATTGTTATTGGGTGCAGCACTTTGGTTGAGTTCATTGCACTTTACAACAATACTGTACTACAGCTGTACTGTAAACAAGCTATCCTGCGCCGTAGACACTTTAAACCGTCTTTAAACCAACTATATCTATACTGTACACATTACGTGGGCCGTCTGCACTGCAGGCTATAAACAAGCCAGATGATATAAAAAGCAGCATTATCTGTCAGCTCTAGTTCACCACATCTCCTAGCTACTTACAATAAACGCACTAATATGATCAAAGAAAGTCCTTTGCAATTTCTTCTGACTCTAAAACCTGTACATGAAACAACATGCTCTGTAAGTATGTTTAAACAATAAACTGCTTTCTTTTGAAAAATAAACTTAAAGTCAAAATATATTATATTACATGTTATGTCCCAAAAGGTCTCACCCAACCCAGTACTAATCCTGCCTGACACAGCTTAACTTCACCGAACAAACAGGACAAGGGGACTGTGAGAATGTTATGAACCAAAACCAAAATTAAATACCCATGAATGATATAGCAAAAATATAACATAGGCTGCTGACTTTGGGGACCTCAATATAAAATAATATTATTATTTCAGATCCCAATAACTAAAAGAGTTAATTTTCATACTGGTACTGTATAAGTCATACAGTGGCTTAGAAAGAGATAATAGCAAGCCAAGAAGAGAAAGTTTCTTAAACTACTTTTGAACTAGCAGTACATACATGCAGTTTGTTTTTAATGTAACTGCTATTTCAATTTCAACCTCAGAAACCCAAGGAAAGCTTACACAGTATCAGCACCACAGGAAGAAAAACAATCGAAACATCTTACATCCTGTGGACCAGCCTTTGGCAGATTTAGATCTGGAAAAACAACATACTTAGGTAATTCAACGAAGCGGAGGAGCAAGAAATAAATTATTAGAAAAAAGGATGAAAACACCATCATCACTTGTTGTCCACTTGCCAGCTATATAGAAACGTTTTATTGTTCTGAGTATTCAGATAAAAATAAAACTAAATAATTTCAAGGAAGAAAGGCCCCCTTTGGCCCACCCCTAAATCCACCCTTACTGTTGCTTAATGTCACAGCTCCTAAGTTGTTACTGAGAACAAGCTGATAGGTGCCTGAATCAGGGTGAGGTGAAAATTAAACTCATTGCATAATCCATAAGGTTAAGTCACAACAATTATTTAAAAACATCTATAAAACAAACTTGAATGTTAAATGTGTCTGCTACTCAGCTTTTGAAACATCTTGTATAAACATCATCCATAAGGTTAAGTCACACCAATTATTTAAAAACATCTATTAAACAAACTTGAATGTTTTAATGCATGTGTCTGCTACGTTATACTCAGCTTTTGAAACATCATCTACAATTCTTTCTATCATAACTTTCTAAACTTGTTGTAAATCTTTATACCATTTTTAATTGATCTATTAAAATTTGTTACTATTATTATCTATTAATTGATCTATTTAATTGACAAGAATAGACTTTTATGGATGGATTGTGTACGCTGTGTACCCTCCTAAATGCAGATTCCTGACTCAATTTAAATGGCAAAAAAAGAAAAGAACAAAATACTTTCCGCAATATGTTCAAGATGCAATAATGATTCAAGCTGAAAATAATAAAATAGGCCTCACTGAGTTTTCAAATAACAAAATATTCATGATTTTTCATGTCTTAATTCATTCAATGATGAAAGTTTCATTGCACTTACACTGTGTCTGTAAAAAGCACCTCTCAACAAAACAGGAACATTTTTCGTAATAACCAGTAGTTTCACTATATATACACAACTTTGTACATTTTGGACTTTCCATTTGTCATGACACTGTGCCCCTTCAGATCAAAATAGAGAGCTGTAGCAAGAACAACTGCAACAGCAACAAAGACATCAAAAAAGCATTATTTTATGCATTTATACTACCCCTAGGCAAAACAAGAAGTCTGCACATACAGCACACTTTTTTGTACATTTTTTTGACATCACTGCATAAAAGCCGCATAAAATTACCTCTGTCAGCAGACATTTCATGGAGGACGTAAACACACCACAAATGGATTTCTCTTTTTCCTACTAAACTACAGTCGAACCTCTCAAAACGGACACCTCTCAATACGGACACCTACATTACGGACAGTTTCCAATGTCTCGACAAAATTCTTATATATTTTCTTTAAACAAAACCTCTATAATACGGACTCTATCTAATACGGACAACGGACACTAAATCTCGGCCCCAGAGAGTAAATTCATATAAACTTAACCTCTTTACTGATGGACGCTGTAGTGATCAGCTGAATCATAAATCCCGATCAGGTGAATTTGCACAGGGTAAATCCCGTCTGGTCTGGCTGAGAAGCTATGCAAGGTGACTTCAAAAGCCCAGTGACTGTATACCAAACATATTGCAAAAGGTGTGCGGAGGACATAATCGACTTTTTGAAGGCTACAGATACCATGAAGATCTTTTCTATTATGTACATTTTGTACTCTAGTTACTGTTTACTGCATTTGCAAAACAGTGAAAGGCACTTTCAGAATTGTGCTTTACGTTACAACTTTTTACATGCAGCATTGCGCTGTAGCTCATTTTGTGTTAAAACTGTGATTTATCTACGACTGTATGTATGTAGCTGATATGTACAATTTTGTATGCTACTCAAAGACAGTGTCTTTGTACTGTGAATTAATAAACTTAAATGCAGTTTAAAGACGAGTGTAAGCCAGGTTTTAGCTACTGAACACTTAAAACTGTAAGTAGAGTCACAAAACTGATGTCATCGTAGTGACCTTTTTTATATGGACACCTCTCTAATTCGGACACTTCACTCTGTCCCTTCAGTGTCCGTATTAGAGAGGTTTGACAGTCACTGTAATGGGTTTGATTCCAAGAAATCAATTTCAAGAAACTTAAACTACTTTCTGATATTTAAAGCAACTGAGTTGAAATAACATTGCAAAAAAAGTTTTAAAAATGCGAGGACTTCTTAATACTACATATTATATACTACTTTTACCCCCAAAACACATTAAAAACATGGGTTATTTGTTGCCTGACTCACAACTTACAGTTGACTGTGATAATATGAGTTAACTGTAATGTGTAGTTCCAGAAAACATCCATAATACCCCCCCCCCCCTATGGAGGGCACTTTTACTTTAGACCACCCACACCCCTATAATTTCCGTTCCAAGGGGTGGTTGTCATACACCCCATGCCACAGAATTTTCTGTTATCTAACTTGGTTGGGACACCCCCGAAAAGAATATTTTTATCAAACATGCTGTTGCACTATACTTTTATGCAGAAGATAATTGTATGTTTTCTGTGATAAAGAGAGGAAAAATCTTTTTATTCATCTTAAAACAATGTCTAATGTTCTCAGCTTTACCTTGCACATAAAGGCCTTTCTTTGTTAATTATTAACAGTGAGTTCAGGTGTATGTCACTGACAACCAAGGAGGCAATACCTTACCAGACACAGTAAAGTGGACAAAACTGTTCTGGATTGACGTTTTATTATACAAAAAATCACAAGCCATAATGACCCTTAATGATATATTTGTCCTTTAAACAACATTTAATTCCACACATGGAATAATATTACACAAGGAGGAATTGTGTTACAGCATATCAAAACAGTACTTGGTAACAAAATCACCAAGGTAAACAAAATCAAATAATTTTTAAGAAAAACAAATCACATGTTTTTTGGTGAAAAAGAAGTCTTGTCATGTTAGAATGTTGTGTCCAAATAAATCTTGCAGCAAAGACAACTTGGATCAAACCATTGACATGCAGCAGTATAATCCTTTGTTTTATACATCAGCAGTTAAGAGAGTCAAAGATTCAAGCTGCGATACATACATATGCTACCACTGCAGGGCCACGAGGCAAATCCACAGAGTTGTTTGAATCAAGCTGCATGTTGTGCAACACAAAGTGAGACTAAATGGCAAGCCCCTGAGAGAAAAGCCAAGAAATATGGTCCAGCAACTATTAGAGAGGCCCACATAGCAGTGCCAGAAGTTCTTGGCCAACTATGCTTTAACACACAGCAGCATTTCGTGGCTGCTGGCATGGAACGGAGCGTGAGCAACAGGCTGCCATCTTCAAAACAGATGGAAGACCGATCTGGTGGCAAGAAGACTTTTAAGATGATGAAAGTCTGAAGAAAGTGCTATATTTGAGTGGTCAAATAAGTTGTAGACTGTCCTTAAGTTTTCCTTGTGTTTTCCCGTTGAATGCTTTTTGAAACATCCACAAAAACGTCACAATATTCTTAACACAACAACCCGTCATTTTTTGATTCGTTTTTTTTTTTTCTTAGAAACAATGTGATTTTTGAATCCCTTTGTGATTTCGTTACTGTGTTTGGATACGCTGTAATGCAAGTCCTCCTTGAACAATCAAATTTTCCAATGTGTGGAATTTGGTAAACTTCAAAAGAGAAAAATATAATTGAGGTTCCTTGGCTTGTTATATTTTTGTATAATGGAACATCAATCCAGAACAGTTTTGCCCATTGCAGTGTACTATGAGAGCATCTATGAAAGAACCAGTAAACAGTTAAGAACAAGTTAAAAGAAGGCTAATAGAACATGACCATAACACAGTGAATACCACAATTATATTGTGAAATATAAAGCAATGAGCTGGATGACCAGCATTATTCATGAGCCAATATGACATTCATATTAGATATATGTAGACTATATCATACAGGTAAGCTGTGAAAAAAGCATTCAGCTATAACTGTTAATTATGTAAGATCATCAATAAAAACAATAACTCTTGTTTCATTCAAAGTCCCTGGAAAAAAGACCTTGAGAATCTGACCCCACTCCCTTGGAAATTGCCTCCTCTTGGACCCCCTTCCCACTGGAATTTCTGATGCCCTCCGTGGGGGGAAGTATAAACCTCATACTGGTGTGGAGGGTAACAGTTTCAATCTTCTCATGAACCTATGCAGGTATACATGTAATAGCTACTGGAGTCACTGCAAGTTTTTCTTTAAACTTTTTAAACAGTTTTAATATTGTTGTTAAATGTACATGTATTTTCTGCTGACTCTAAACATGACACTAAACATTATAACCTCAGTGAATTGGTAATGATCAAATGTAAACAAAGCACTGGTTTATTCATTTAAAAGTTCTTACATATCAAGTGAACTCACTCACTTCAATTCCTCATGAACCTATTGTTGTGGTGCATAAAGCGTAACCATGGTGGCCAATCATTTACATAAAACTGGTAAATGAGGTACAGTAACACCAGCAAATAAGAATTAACCTACTTTTTTTGAAGTCTGGCAAAATAGGTTCTTGTATTTTGAGGTACTTAATGGCAATTTAGGCTATGTAGGTTCTTAATTAGGTCGAATCGCGACTTCTTAGTTTTTACGTATGAAGGAGATAGATTGTTGATTTAAAATCACAAAAATAAATTTTAAACTTTTTAAAGTTATTCATAATAATTGTATTATGTCATATAATCCTAACAAAACTGATGACCAAATTTCTTGTTAGTCTCAATTGCAGATTCAGAATCTGTAAGCCATGTTTTGTTCCTCGTATTTAGTCCACAAAAGAGAAGACATGGTCCCTGCAGGGTTGAACATAGTGGTGACCATGGAAACTTGGGATATAATGAATTGCGGCATGACTCAGGAGCTCGCCACGAATGTTTTGTGAAGAAAGCTTAGGAAAAGTTAATACAAAAGATTTAGAGCTTTTCCGGAATAGGTTGGTCCACGAATTCTATGGCTTAAAAGTGGTGATTACTTTGGAACAAGTGGTCGAGTAAAAGAAGAATCTTAATGAGCAAAACTTCGATCAATGGGGCAGATGGTGAGGCTAACTGGTCGGGCGTTGTAAACTTTCATTGTTTCATTTTCAGCGATGACCGAAATGACATGCCATGTTCATCACTTTTTTTGCTCTCTGGCAATGGTGTAATTTCTCTCATACTCGAATCTAGGCCCTTAATTTTCGTGTATTTATGCACATGTATACAATCAATTCAGAAACAAATTGTCAAATACCATACATAAAATAAAATAATTATCTTGAAGAATACTTGACTGTAGATAAAGTAGGAAGTCAAAAACTTATCACGAGGAAATCCTGCTTCATGTAGATGTAATTGCCTCTTCATTTCTTGAGCAAGCGAGACTTATGAATATATACTTAAAAAATAACTCATAGGTACCCCCCCCCCCCCTTTTTACCACTGATAGTTACCTCCCTTTGTTAAATTGTTCATCATAATTTAAGCTTACATGTAACTTGCAATGATGATCTTCTTAGGCTTAACTTGCTTCACAATATTATGTTTGAATCCCGCAGTTGCAAGGACATATGTGAGCATTTTTGATTGGCTTGTTTGTTACACAGTTTAATGTGATTAGTCTGATTTGAATTAAGCATTGACAGGCCAAACACAACTAATTTATATAATATATAGCTTGTGAGAAGGGAGATTGAGCTTTTGATAGTGCAGTCAACGTGACCGAAGAGTCAGCTTGAACAACAGTGGTTTCTCTTGCTCTCTTTTTGCGTAGTTTATGCAGTTCATGGAGTATTCTACACTGAGCAAATTTTATTTTACCACTTTGAGTGTCACATTAATTTTAGAGGTTTAGGTTGCTGGTCTGTTCCATGCATATTGAGCAATTAGTTCCTACGGTTTATGTTTCTGCAGATGTTTTCTGACAGGATTTGATCACAGTTTATGCAGTTTACCACGAAATGATTTTCTTTTAGCTCTATTTAATACGGTGGCCCACAAGGGACATGCTGCAAATAAAAAGTTGCTGCAAAACCAATGAAGTTGCTGCAAACAAAAAGTAGTTGCTGCAAATAAAAAAATAATAATTGCAGCAAACAAAAAAATATCTGAGGCAAATAAAAGCAGTTGCTGCAAATTAAGTGACAGGAAATTATGCGCACACACTGATGGGAAGAGGAGGACTCAGTATAGTTGTATCCAGGGCCCACTCACAAAATGCTTGGCCTAATCCTCAGTGACAGGAACCTTATTTGAGTTCAATGGAAACAATTACCATCAAACCCATGGAGTTGCATTAGGCATAAAAACAGCGGTGTCCTTTGCAAATATCCACAAGGCGGAGACTGAAACAAACCTAATCCAACATAGAAATAATACCAATGGAAATGTTTCATTGGTGACGTTTCCTTTCTTTGGGACTGTAACAGAAAAGACCCAACTTTTTCTTAAAGAAACTAACAAATCCCATCCCAAAAATGAAGTCCACGGCCGAAATATGAAATGACGAGATAACTTTTCTTGATACAATAGTTTTCAAAGGAGAACATCTCACAGAGAAATCCATTTTCATTGGACATTAAATCCCACTATAAGCCGCCTAAAACCTTTCAATATGTACACTTTATCTCGTTCCAGCTACGAGGGTAAAAAGAAGTTTCATTAAAGGCAAAGAAATAAGATTGATTAGAAAAAACTCCTCAAAAAAAACATTTGAAGAGTGCCTTGTGAACTCAAAGCAAACAAAATCCTAAACCGGATATAGAAAGGTCATTGTCAGGGGTCAACCTTGACTTGAGACACTGATAGGGGCTAAAACAAAAACAAAAAAAATAAAGAGAGACTATTGCCTTTCATTACAACATATAACCCAACAGTACAAGACCTTAAAAAGACGTTGATGGCAAACTGGAGTCTACAGGCCTAATAAGAAATCAGCCTCTGCAGTGCTGAAAACAGTTTAAGACCTCCAATCATACCTTACAAAAGACACGCTTGAGTGCAAAAATGTAACTTGAAGGCAGTTAATAATTCAACACAACCACAAAAACCACATTGGGAGTACTTGCAGGTCTGTCTTTAACTTCCTTACAACTATACTGAGTCCTACTCTTCCCATAATTTGCAGCAACTATTTTTATTATTTGCTGCAATTATTTTTCATTTCCAGCAACTTTATTTAACTTGCAGCAACTTTATTTTATTTGCTGCAACTTTATTTTATTTGCAGCAACTTTATTTTATTTGCAGCAATTTTATTTAATTTGCAGCAACTTTTTTATTTGCAGCATGTACCCTAGCTGTGGGCCACCATAGTTTAAGCCTTACGCTTTTTTGTTGTGGCTAAATAACCTTAGTTTCTTTGGTTTCTCTAAAACGCCTGGACCTGGATAGCCACATGTAGTAGGTTTTATTTTTGGCTGTGAAGATAATGATTTCCTGAATTTTTTTTTTTTGGACGCTAGAAGCCTAGAACTGTCGGCTAGATTGTAGAATACGCGACAGTGCATCTGCAGTGATTGGAAGATGCTGGAAAACCAGTGGGCAAATTTATACAAGCAAATTCTTATAAAAAAATCACAAGGAATTCTCTCAAAGTATTTTTTTGTGCAGAAGAAGGCTTTAAAGTTTGCACTGCTCTTTTATTATTTGCTGTAAACTGTAAACGATCACTGCCAACTCCCTTCTGTGAATTTTGACATGTCACTGAGCCTTTTAATATTGGCATGCGCACGTGAAGAATTAGACCAATCATGAGGCGCATAACATTAACATTAACCCAGAAGAAACCTACCCATCACAAACACTCACATACGTCTTTGCGACTCTGCAGGATGTTAGAATGAACTTTTATGCACTTGTTCGCAAATGGACTATACAAATGGATAAGACGAGTGTGTGCGCTGGCTGCAACATGGGCTAGGCTAAACAGGTTCTTGTATTTTTGCATGGGTATTAAAGTGGCAAATTTCTGCCAGATGGTTCTTAATCCACAGGTTCTTATTGGTGGGTGTTTACTGTATTTAAATGTTTAATGAAGAACAAAGCATATAAAATAATAAATGGATATGCTGTAGTTAAGTTTTTATCTCAGGTAATTTTTATTTTTCTTTTGTTTCAACTTCATTAGCATACATTACCATACCCAAAAACAAAAGAAAAACAAAAAAATTACATGAGGTAGAAAAATTACAACAGATACATTTAGGTGACTGCATAAACACATAAATAAGCTAATTTTTTAAATAAAAAGGGTTTAATATAAATAATTGTTAAATTGTACATAGTTAAAACCCTATCACTCCCAGAGTCAATTATGGAACCACAACATTTAGTTCTTACTCTTGAGCCCCTGGACGAAACCCCTTTATCGGTACTCTCACATGGTACTATTTGTTTTCAGTATTGGACAAAATGAAATTTCGACTTCTTCGTTAATAACGTTTTGATTTTGTCAGTGCACTTATGGAAGTGCAGATAAAAAACATCAATAACTTTACATACCATTTCATATCCCGTTGTATTGTTGGCATAAAGGCAGTAATTGTTATCCCCCTCACGATACCAAAGTTCAAGCTCTCCTGCCTCATCATTATCCTTACTCCCCCATGACACTATGCCATGTGCCATACAAATCTGTGTAAAGCCCGTCCGACTGTGCAGACCGAGCCGACTGAGCCAGTCGGCCATTTTGTTTATTGGAAGAGCACCTCGTCCCCAGGCTCTCATCCTACGGAAAATCGCACCTGCCGCAAGGACTTATGGGCTGCATTTGTGCTCTGAAGTGATTTTTTATTTTCTTTCGTTTATTTTATTTGAGGGTCTCAATGGGGTTAACCGATAGGCGTAAAAAGGCCAAAAATTTAGCCGATAGTCGTAAAAATTTAAAAAATTTAACCGTTAGCCGTAAATAGCGTAAAAAAGAGTTCACCGTAAAAGAAAGTGTTCCCTAGATTTGCTACTTTTAAGGAAGGTACTAAACTCACTTATGGTTGCGTTTTTTATTTCCCGGCTAGTGTGACTCCGTACACACGTTAGGCGAAGCGCCTTTGAGGTGTTAACCAAGATCTAGGCTCCATTTCCGGCGCTTTCTTGGGGAACTAATTTTTTCCATAGTGAAAGTGTGGCTTCTTGCTGGGGATTACTGTATTTGCAATTTTCAGGAGGCCCTGGCCTGAAAACAGTAGTGAAACGACACGCAGAGATGTCACTGTTTGTAAAACACGTTGCCGATAAACAATGGGCGCTTTCCATTTAGTCAAAATTTCCGGAATTTCCGGTTCGGCGGTAAATGGAACACGTTTTGTCGGTTCGTCCCACTGGAAAATTCCCAGAAAAAGTGGAAAATCTAAAAAGGTGGTCCCGTTTTCCCGGTTGGAATTTCCGAACGGAATGTCGTGTTCCATTTACGTTTCTCGTAGTTTGTACCAGTTCCAGGTCCACGGTCGGGCACCGCGCTACGTACCGGGGTTTACGACCAAATGGAACAACTTTTTACCAATCGGAAATTCCACTTTTGCTACCACCGAAATTTCCGGGTTTTTTTCGTAAATGGAAAGCGCCCAACATTTCCCTGTTTTTCTCGGACGCTACGGTAGACATCGCCATGCCTAGTCCCTGTTCGGCGTCTTCCCACGCAATCTCGGTCAAGGCATTTCAGTGGCGAACTCGCTCGGACCACATGACCCGAAAGGCATCAGCCGCGCGGAATAATGCGGCCTACGTACAGTCCTTCGCTATCATTAGAAACACTGGACACGGGAATTTTGTTATTGCCGTTTTCACACTAGACCTAGAAATGGATCATCCGTCTGAGACTAGCCTGTGTACAGTCGCGCCCTCCCCACAGACACCCCTTCTCCGATTTTTTTTCTGAGGGGAGGGGACGGCTGTACACAGGCTATCTGGAACGGATAATCCTGTCTTCAAAAGTCAGGCGGATTGTTTATTCAAAATTAAAACTATTCCATTGCCAAATTAAGACGTATCACCTATCTGACGCGAATCATCAAACGGATAACCCGTCTCACACGAATAATCCTTCTCTAGTGTGAAAACGGCCATTTCTGTTATAATGAATGTCGCGCCCCGGCCTTGAGTTGGGCGTTCGCGTGTCTGCTTTTGCTTTTTCACAAAGATTATTTTTAAATTGACTATTGACATTTCTATGTGTAAAATAATATCAGAAGTGCAATACTTTATCAAAAGTATGATCTATCAAATGTTAAAATTTTTCAAATGAATAGCTTATTTCATCCCGAGATGATCCGAAGACCTTTATTTTGATTTAAAGATACAAAAAAATACAGGTTAATTAATATTTAACTTTTTGAAACAAAAGAAGTTAATTTTTAACTTTTTCGTTAACCGTAACTGAAAAAAATTAACCGATAGCCGTAGAAGAGCCAAAATTTTAGCCGATAACCGTAAAAGCCACCACCCCATTGAGACCCTCTTATTTCCCATGTGGGGGAAAGAAAACTCAGACAAGATCAACAAAATGCACATTCAAGGTGACGCTTTTATCTTCCTCAAAATGCTTAATGTTTGAAAACGATGCTCTGTGCTCAAGTAAAATTATGCTGACAAATACAGGCAAATAGAGAAATTCTCACTGTGACTGAATGGAGAGGCAAACACTTAAAAAAAGCGTAAACCCGGCACATAAAAATATGTGACAGGGAATTTTCCCAGCCACGATTTTCTCTTTTCATTTTTTTATAAGTGTGATGTCACCACCGGGATTACTACTCTCTCTGTAACCTGTCGGACCTACTTCACTTTTTGAAGATTTTCTCTTTTGTAGTTCGCTCGCTTCACCTTACCCAGGCGAAAATGGTCTACGGCGCAAGCGAAACGAAAAATACTGCCTACGTGTAGGTTATGTTCTGGTCCGATGCTTGCTGTTTTAGGAACGGACAGTTAAAACAATTTAATGATGGAGAGGGATGGGTAAAGCAAAAACACTTTATACAGGCCAAAACTCTTGAAAAAATTCATGCAAATCACAATGAAAACAAAAAGAAAACTCCAGAAAATCCATCCCTTATCCTTTTATATACCATTTTTGACGAAAAAGGTCCCCTTTCGCATACCTTCTATCAGTGACAAATGGTGCCTCTTCCACATATAATTGTTTATATTGTTTATAGAACTTTGAATCCATTTTGACTGCTGTAAATACACTTTTTTTACATAGAATAGCCTGTACACCGACGTTGTTTTATTTTTCTTTTTGTTCCTACTTCCTTGCACTGGTGGTCAATAAATCCCCTGTGGTTTACATTTTATCACCCGTGCTCGACGGACTTTTGAAGAGGAAGTAGAGAGTCTGTCAACAGGCTACTAATCTCAAAAACAGAACGTTTCTCGACTTTTCAAAGCCATATCCTTCATCTATTAACCCTATTGGGCCCTTTAACAGACCCAAATGACAGATTTCCCTACCCTTTAATATACTTAAACTAGTGAAATCACCACCCTTTCTTATACAGCTATTTCGAGAAAGGTTGTCGGAAGGCTGGTATGGCCAGCCGAAATATTGTTATAAAAAAACAATACACGTTGTTCTGAATCAGCGTTGCACTAGTCCTTGGACTTCTCGTTTTTGGTATATATATATTAGTTGTTTTTGGCTTGCCAACATTTAACTCAAATCGGACTAATCACAAACTGTGTAAGAAACTAGCTAATGAAAAACACCAACATAGGTAACCCTTTCCGGCGGAGCCTCCCCGCCGTAGGCCAATATAGGAAAATCCCCGGGTCTGGTTTTTTTAAAAGATACTATTCTTAAACATTCTCTTTATTTCCAGCCCGGAAGCACAAAATATTGGCGTTAAGTCCTGAACACATTCAGTGATGCCATAAAAAACAAGTTTACTCCGCTACAAGATGTGATGCTCATCCTCTCCCCTGAGTTATTTCGAATCCTTTTCTCTTTGTCTTTAAAACGCGCATCTTCCATATACATGCTAAGAAGCAGTTTTATTAAAAGGCCGGGAATAAATTTATAAAACATTTCAATAATTGAAGTATTTGTTAGTTTCCCTGAAAGCAGAAATACGTATTATCAAGAGAGAATAACGGGACAGAGAGGGTATATAAGGCCCTGCAGTCAGTTCAGCAGGCCAACGGCCGTTGGAAAAATATGACAATCATTGCACCAAACGTTATTTTAGGACAATTAAACGCTGTTGCTAGAATACATAGAAAATGTTAAATTCCCTTACAGCTATGCCACCGTTCTTTTATCGCTTTTAGGTCTCGGACCGCGCTGCCGCTCTATCTAAAATTCTTTAAAAACAAACGGCCTTTGACAGTTCATAATGGAAAGAAACAACCTCATTGAACAACAAAAGCAAGACTTAACCCATAGAAAATAATCGTAATGAAAACTGTCCTTAACACTGCTATCACTTTATTCAATCCTCAGAATGCTGGAAATTACGCTTCTGAGAATTTGGTTTTCAATTTTTTTGTGAACGGAAGCATGTCCCGAGACTGACCCCCTAAATTACAGGAGACCTGACACCCCCCTCACTACTGCCTTTGTCAAATAGCCAGGCTAATCATGTATTTATTGGATAAATAAATTATTAACATCCCGGAGGCCTATCATGTAAAATCACATGTATTTCCACATAAAAAGCGGTCCTTACAATATGTAACATGCCATCATTAAAAATTTGCATAAGTTATAGCATTATTTGTTGTTGGCATGAATGCCACGAGTGATAATTCAAAATGGTTATACGAGACAATTTTGTGGTATTTATGCCAAATATCACGTACATTATTTGTTGATACTACTACCCGCAAAAGGCTTGTAATTTTCACATGTAGGTATTTCAAAAAAGCTGAAAATACGTATACCACTGCTCTAGGCCAATCAAATTGCAGAAATTTCTCATGTCGTAGTATAATGGGAAGTAATACAGCAAATTACGTGAATACGTAATTTCAATAACTTTGTCCAAAAAGCAATATTAAAAAATTAAACAAAAGAGAAAGCTAGGAGTAAATTGGAGTATGAATGATTGCCGGTCCTAAACTGAATATAACGTCGAATAAAATGAACAAAGGTTACCAAAATAAGTTTGCTCCCGACATTTGGTGTTTATTCGGAGGTATCGTCTTTTGTATTTTGACATTTTTATATATTCTTATTTAAAGATGGATGTTACAATTTTCCAGTTTTCAAAAAGCCAAGTGACGAAAATATCCAAACTTGAGTCATGCAACTTTTATCCACAGAATTCTTTTAATTTTATTCGTTATCATGACCGTGTGCTTTTTATCGTTGACGAAGAGAGTTGGATTGACTGGATGCAGAACTAACTCGTGCAACTCCGGTAAAGGTTGGACTATTTGGATAGAGTAAGACGACGTGGAGCGAGAAGAGATAACGGCCATATTCGCAGGTTACTAGACTAAACTTGTTCAAGGTATAGTAGTGAAACTTGGACTAAGGTGCTCAGGCCGAAAGTCAATTCTAAATCAATTCATTTCAAGCCGTAGGCTCGAATCCCGAAACATCGAGTTTGGATTCGAGTTCGAGTTCGAGTTCATTATGATCACATTGATCAGGTGATGTGTGCGCTAAATAAAAGATTGTTTTATTACTAATTTTTTCTTGTAACTGTTCAGCACAATTTTATGATATAAATTGTTTAATATATACTGGTATTGATCTCCGCA